ATCCAAAGAGCCCCAGCTTCTAACCTTTCTTTCTATACTTTCTTTCAATTTTATGGATTTTTATTACTGTGCTCTTAGCCCTCTCTCTCTCTCATGAAAAGAAATACATCTCAGCAGAATTTTAAAGTACAGCTTAAGACAAACAATCAGGATACAGTTATAGTGTAATTGTAAGAGCATTTCTAGCTTCCTCATGTAATTAAATTTTATGTAAGTCTTGTTACCTAATCTAAGAAGTTCCTAACATTAACATTTTCCTTAGCTTAAAATGTATTTCCAATAGATACCTCTACATGCAGAAATCCATCTTACCCCATGCATGTACCTTAGAGATTTGTATGCCACTAACATTTAGGCAACTCCCACCTAAACTCCTGAAATTTCTTGTGATTTGTGCTGCAACTTAATGACATTACTATGTAGTAAAAGCCCTCCACCAACAAGGGAGTGGGCAACACAACCTCCCTGCACACTAGCTCCCTCTATGCATTTGCATTCATGATCTTCATTCTATGATGAGGCAAGGAATACTAAGTTGCACTGGAATTGGAGAGGAAGGGTGGGAAGAGCGTGAAGAGGTATCAATCGGAAATACATTTTCAGATAAGAAAAATTTTAACTTCCAAGATGACATGCAACCTCTTCACACAGAAAGCTAGAATCCCACACTAATATGGTGGAGGGACTGATGCAAAATTTACCTAGATAAGCTCTCTTCAGAAAGAGCCTAAAGAAAACCTATGGAGCATGACACCCGATGACAGGGGTTTCATAGAAGCACAATTGTGAGAGACCAAATGTCATCTCTTCCAGGGTATAATCTTCTCCCATAGTAGTAGGGAGGAAGCGGCAAATAAGCCCCACATGTCACGAGTATGGGTGGAATAAGAACATGGCCATTCAAGTACCTGCACACACAAAGACAGAAAGCCAATATATCTAGTGTGGTTGGGCGTGTTCAGACTAAACCGAGTGCCCTCCTCAACTCTACCATCATACTTATTGGACCCACACCAGCTGCAGGAGGAGGGCACACAAATTAATAGTGCAGGCTTGTCTCAACTCTACAGGTAAGATTCTTGGACTGACACCAGCTGCAGAAGGAATGCACAGAATTCATGCCATAGTGTGTAATGGTGGTGCATTCTCACCACAGCTTTACTGCCAGACTTTTGAACTGACACCAACTGTGGCAAAGAAATTCACATCATAAATTATGTGATAATAACTAAACAGCAACAACATCATTTTTAAACCCTGTTAATCCACCTTTTGTGCATGTTACTGAGTTGCATTCAAAATTTAATTAAACCACTTTATTATAAATGTATTTTAATGAAATTACTATTAACAAGTATAATATAGTTTAAAGTTTTATATCATCTAAGTTTTATTCCTTTATTTTAAAAATAAACATTTAAAACAGCAATTAGAACTGCAGTTTTTGCTGTCACATGATCTGCTCGCAGTTACAATTCTTAACTTTAAGAGCTGTTACACAAGAAACTGGGAGCATCTAATTTAGACTGTCAGCATAAACAATCAAAGTATAGGTTCTAGTTGTCTCTCATTAGTTGGGGAAAACTTCCAAGAATTTCTCCTTGTTTGAAACACTTTTTTAATATTTCTAAGTTTAAGGCTAGCCACGCCCACTTGCAAAGTCGAAGCTGTTGCTAAGCAACAAGTTGAAGGGTATGCTTATAACCAATAGAAAGAGTAGATTTTCCACAGTAACGTTACTGCTTGAAGAAACCTCTAGGAGTGTGTGGATCTGTAGTATGAGATAGAAAAGAAGCTTAGTCCATTGTTCTCTCGAGGGGTGCATAGTTCGTAGCAAGTGTTTCTTGCCTTATATGTATTAGTCTGGTAGACAGATTACATTTAGGTTTTATGTTTATATCTTTATTAATTATGTATTGACTTATGAAAATGTCTAAGAAAATGGCATCATTTGTGTGTGTGAGCATTAGTGAAGGAATTTGTGAACAAGTGTCACCCTATTATAACAACAGAGTACCGCGGGGAGATGTTGGCATATTGGCATCAAGAATAAACGACAGAATTGGAAAGGAAGATAAACTACAAGTGGAAAGATAAAGACGTGAAATTACACACACATTAAAAAAAAAGTTTCAAAAGACTTCTATGAAGAGCTAAAGGGTGTTTGCATATTTCCACTTCTTAATTCTAAACATTTCATTGCACTGTACATTGATGATAATAACTAGAATTGATGATATAGTAGAGAAAATGGAAAATAAATATAAACATTTACCTTTAAAACTTTTGATATTAATTTAGGAGCAGGAACGTTGAGAGCCAGTACGGGCCCTGGGGTAAACATATTCGCCAGGCCCCTTTCTTTCTCTCTTTTTTAACATTTTCAAGAATTTATTAAAAAGAAGATCCTAAATTAGGACAGCAACAAGCTCATAAACCAGACAAAATCATAGAAATAGCTGTTTATACCTAACAGTATAAGCGTAAAAATATTAATAAACTAACAACAAATATCTATTAAATCTATAAAGTAACAAATACATATTAATTATCACTCAAATTATTATTTCAGTCATTCTTAATGTATCAAGCATCTAAATGTAAAGAAAAGCCAAAAAACTATGGTTTTTATCATTAAATGAAGATATAGCCTAAAGATACTTTGCAGACTTTACAGCATAACCAGGTTTCAATCGCCCGCCCCCCCCCCACACCTATTTTTATCTCACAATGTTGGTTGTCCAAAAAATAAATCATTAAACTTTCAAATATGCATTTTAATACACAACAAAATAAACCAGGCATTAGAATAAAATGTTTATAAACTACTAACATTTACTTGTATTTCTAATTAACTCTATCGGCCCGGGTACACTTTACTGCGCATGACACAAAGTCTTAATGTCTTACATTCAAAATTTTATTAAACCACTTTTTGTTTATGTTATACCAATTGGAATGGCATCTTAGAAATCTTAGCTAATAATCCATATTTTAATAGTATACAAGTTTTAAGTTCCTAATTCTACAAGGAAATGTTTTAAAAAATCCTGAATTTCCACTAGTGTGACACATTTTGTTTCAGCATGTCATCCTCCCCATTTTATCCATCACCCCTCAAAAATGTAGAAAATTAAACGTAAAATACTATATAAAATCATTATTGTACAAACAGACCATAATTTTTATAGCCTTCAATTTTGTTTGGTTACAGAGCTATCGAATAGAAAATCA